TTCTGCTGGGGAAGGGGTTAAGGGGTTTTATTCCCTCCCTAACTTCAGGGGAAAATCCCTACCTGGGGAAACCACCTTTCTCAGAGAGGTGACCTTGGTTAAAACACATAGTGCCAAGAAGGTGAGCAAACATATTAAGAACAGTATGCCATATATGCCAGGTCCCTTGAAACAGCAAGGATGGACCGGCTCCCGGCACTAAAATTTTTAAAGCAAGTCTAATACATCATGATATTCCACTTCCAAATATTCGATTATACATCTCTAAATAATGATATTTTCTTACATAACCACAAAACTATTATTATACTAACATTTAAAATAATGCTTTAATATCATATGGCACTCAGTCTAAATGCAAATTTCCCCACCGATGCAAAAATGTCTTTTTATAGTTGATTTATTGAAATCAGAATTCTCTTTTAAACTTGAACTGCTTTCCCTCCCACATACACATTTTTCCTCCATGCCATTGACTTATCGAAGAGACCATGTCAATTGTCCTGTAGAATGCCCCACATTTTATCATCTTGCCTCCTCATGGTTTCATTTAATTTGTTCCTCTATCCTGCATATTTCCTATACCTTGGAAATATAAGTTAAAGGCTTGATTCCATTCAGGGTTTGAGGTCTTCATCACATGTGTGGTGATCTTTGGCTGTCTTTTGTTATTTATGAATACATCATTTGAAAACTATGTGCATGAGCCAGGCTTGTTGACTAGTGGAGCTCAATAGGGTGACCAGGAATGAGCTAGTCTTTGTCAACATACATAGATTTTTTTTCTGGGGCCATTCAGTTTCTCCAAAGATGAATTCTCCCATCTCCTGGCTGGGGCTATATTCTTGGTTGCTTCATAAATAGAAGAGCATAGGAGGAGTTCCCACTATTCAATATGCAGGCTTCCACCTAAATTCCTGTTTTCAACTCCATGTCTCATGAAATGTCTCTACTATGCCTGGTTTCTCTGGGTTCTGAGCCTCAACATTCAATGTTCCTTGGGGAGGATACAATCATTCCTTGCAGGTGGTTTATGGGAGGAAGGAGTGGTCACCTGGCTTTTGGGGTAGGAGAAGGTACCTAGGGTCCAACTACTTTGTATATAGATGTTCAACTAATGACCCTTCTTTTCTGGCTCATGCCTCACTCGCATTTTCTATGTTACCATTTCCCTTCAAGTCCTAGAAGTTTTTTGGGTTCTGTTAGGCAAATTGGCTTGCTTCTCATTAATTTTCTCTTTGGCAGGCATTTAGGTTATAACTTATTCCATTCAACTATAGAAGTTCTCCATCGGCATCCTGTCTTCCATAACATATCTTATCTAATAAAAGACAAACAGGGTAATTGACCATACCTTCGCTACGCTTCCCATTGGCTAATCATGGCTAATCAGGGTATTATGCAAATTAACTGCCAAGAAAGATGGCGGTTAATTTGCATAGGTAGGCTCAATGATGGGAGGTAAAAGGGGAAGGACAGAAGAACGGCCATCGGAAACCCAGGTGGCAGGCAAGAGCTGGAGAACCGGGCACCTTTGCCCGCCCCCCAGCTGGTGATCGCAATCAGAAAGCCGGGCCACAGGCAAGGCGACACCCCCGGGACCCAGGAGCTGCCTTGCCTGTGGCCCACGATTCTGATCACGAAGGCTTGGAGGCGGCTCCGGCCGGAACAGACACGGACAGGGACAGGGGGCTGGTTCCCGCAGAAGCAGTGGGCAGCCTACTGCACAATATTGTGCAATGGGCTACTGGTATGTATGTGTGTGTGCGTGTGTGTGTGTATGATATATTTTTATTGATTTCAGAGAGGAAGGGAGAGGGAGAGATAGAAACATCAATGATGAGAGAGAATCATTGATTGGCTGCCTCCTGCAGCCCCCTATTGGGAATCAGGCCTGCAACCCGGGCATGTGCCCTTGACCAGAATCAAACCCAGGATCCTTCAGTCTGCAGGCCGATGCTCTATCCACCGAGCCAAACCAGCTAAGGCTCTTTCATAATATATATTGATCTCTCACATCTGCTTTGGTCTCCTAGTTTTTTGTTTGTTTATTTTTTGTCATTCTAGGTTTATGCCTCCTTTTATACCTTTACTATTATTTGCATGTTATTTTGTGAAGGAATGGAGATAGACACATGTAGGCAATATGTATGTAACTAGAGGCTACCAATTCTGTTGGAAAGACAAAACTAATATTTATTGTTTGTCTAGCATATACCAGATATTTTGTTGGTAAAAACCATAAGTGGTAAAAACCATAAGTGGTAAAAATCATAGGTATCATCTCCATTTTTCAGATAAGGATTCACAGACTCAGAAAAATTAAGTAACATGTTAACAGTTACATACCCAATAAGTAAAGAAGCAGTCTTGTATTGAAACCTGGGTCTTTCTAGGCTCTAAATATGTCACAAGAATCATTCAGGTGACCATTTTTCATCTAACTGTAGATGAAGTACAGAGTCAAAGGACAATTCTCCCCTCCATCATGCCCAGAACAATGCTGGTGAAACAAGCACATACCTCTTTCAATCCACTGCTCAAAACTGTCTGGCTCTTTAGATGTGCTCTTTTCAATTTGCAAGGTCCGTACTAACAGTAAATAAACAAAACATATAAAGGATTAATTATCGAACTGATTCTTTGTTGTTGTTCCTATATTCGTTTTATCCTCTGAGACTGTCAGGCTTTGGTGGCAATGCACAAAGAACTGGCATTAGGAAGACCATCTTCTGAAAATCATTTACTCTTTTTCTGTATGTCCCTATGGGGAAATGCAATCTTGTGTCACTATAATCTTACAAATATTTGCAAACATATAACACAGCTTTGGAGCCTTTTTGAATTTGGTATCATCCAGATTTTTTTGTATATTGGTATTAATAGTAGTAATAGCATTAGTAGTCTTGGGCATACGTCTTTACCTTTAAGGAGAACCTAGTATGAGTCAGGTATATTTACCTCATTTACTCTTTACTATAATCTTATGAAAAAAGTAATATTAACCTACTTTACTGATAAGGAAACAAGCTTAGAGAAATTGGGCAACTTAGAAAAGTCAGGCAAAGTATTCAATGATAAAGACTTAGTAAGTGCCAGAACTAAAATTCAAACGTTTGGTCTGTCTGACTCCAGAGCCTCTACAATTAATGACAGGAGAAAGACTTAACAGGAATGCAGTCATCTTCCTTCTGCACTGTTTTTTCTCCATCACCCCTAACCCAGTTCCAGCTACCCCAGATCCATTCTTCCCCTTCTGTGTTCTGTGCCCTGGGGGAATAATCTTCACGGACTGCATCTCTGGGACTCACTTGCTCACTAGTTATGGGTCATCTGTGGCCAATGGGTGGCACTGAGAGGAAACTGGAGGGCAGTTGGGAAGTGAGATCAGGCTGTTTCTTTCTCCACTCCCTTCCTGCTTCAGTGCCGTGTCTTGACAGTGGTTGTGTCCCTTCATGATTACAACTCCTGCCAGGCAAGCTCCAACCTTTACTGGGCTCCAAAACCAAAACACTATTTCCTTCCCTGAGCTCAGGGGTGGCAATGGCATCCTGCTGTAGCCAGTTTCTGGGTGTCTCTCATCCCTGGTTTGGTCTCTGGAGCCAGAACATAATTTTGTAAGTAGACCCATCAATAAAGTCTCTTCATTTGAACCATCTGGAGTGTATTCTGTTTCCTGCCATGATTCTGTCTGATATACTTTATCCTTACATAAACATAAAGACAGGATTAGGATGATATTCTAATGGGAGATTCTTCTTCTAAATTCATCAGAAAATGTCATTTTTAATGTAAGAATCAAAATTATCCAATGCAAATAATCAGAGTTATCAGATTTCCAGAAAGAATTTAACAGAGAACCCCAACCCAAACAATCTGTAATAAATATGTCAAGAAATCTAGCGTTCTGGCAAGCTGGCTTCTTATGTTCATAAAAGGCTCTTTTGCCAAAGACTTTCACATAGTAAATTGCATGGAAATTATTATTTGCTTTGGAAGGGTTTCAAATTTGCAGTTTCATAGAGTCTAACTGTAATCAGGGCAGTTAACCCATACACCCAACTCTCCTACCCAGCAATAAAGATGGATTCCATGCTGCATAGAAAAATTTTGCCAAAAATTTATGTGTCCTCTGCCTATGGAAAAATTAAAAGATGATGAAAATTAATGTATGAATTGCTTACCAAAGCAACTTTGGATTACAAGCCTTTCAATTCTTACACGTTTGTGAAAACAAATAATGAACTCTTGGGGAAACATTCCTGTAGTGGTCCAAAATGTTTCTGGGTTCCTATTGTTAATTAAAAAAAGAGAGAGAGAAATAGCTAAATAAAAATTAAATATTCACAACATTCTAGTGAATAAGTATTAAAAAAAAAAAAGACCTATGGATTCTTGCAATCCCTTTCTAACTACTCATTCTGCCTCTAATTTCTCCCTAATTTTAGTAATTCTTTACTACTATCAGATATATTATTTAAAAACATGGAGTTTATGTTACTCTTGTCTAAAGCCTCCAGTGGCCTCTTGTTACCTATAAATCTAAATGCCTTAGTATGTTATCTTATGACTCTAAATAATAATCTGGTCTTCCATCATTAAAGTATCATATCCTCGTCCTTCATGCTATCATCTCCCATTACTATAGTCACACTGGGCCAGTTAAAATCCAGCAAACACATCATGCAGGCTCATGATCCTGTACCTTAATACATATGTAATAAATTTCACAGTACAGTGTTTTTCCCCATTAAGTGGTCAGTTGTCTTTCAAAAAACTTAAAATAAAAAGGTTGCTTTTTCATATTATCCAAATATTTACCATTTCCAATTAACTTAATTTCTTCCTGTAGGTATGAATTTCTTTTTTTGAAATTTTATTTATTGATTGGGAGGCCAGGGGAGAGAAGAGAGACAGAGAGAGAGAGAGATTTATTTTTCCACTTATTTATGCATTCATTGGTTCCTTCTTGTATGTGCCCTGAGGAGAGATCGAAACTGCAACCTTGGCACTCTAACCAACTGAGCTACTTGGCCAGGGCTGGCTTGAATTTCTATCTAGTATTATATCACTTCAACCTATAGAATTTCTTTTAGCATTTCCTGTGATGCAGGTCTACTTGTGTTGAATAAAATGTCTTTATTCTATCTTCATTTTTGAAGGATATTTTAGTTAGATATAGAATTCTGGATAGACAGGCTTTGGGGGGGTGGTGTTTCTTTTTTTTTCAGTCTTAAAAAATACTGTTCCATTGTCACCTGGATTTCACTGTTTGTGATGCAAAGTCAGCTGTCACTGTTACTATTGTTTCCCTATATTTAATGTATTATTTCCTCCAGCTATTTAACATTTTTTTATTTTATTTTTTAAAATATATTTTAATTGATTTTTAGACAGAGAGGAAGGGAGAGGGAGAGAGAGATAGAAACATACTCCATGCCCCCAACTAGGGATTGAGCCCACAACCTGGGCATGTACCCTGACCAGGAAGTGAACAAGTGACCTCTTGGGTCATGGGTCAAAGCTCAACCACTGAGCCAAAGTGGCCAGGCTGGTCCCTCTGTTTTTACCCTGCTTGGGGTTTTCTGAGTTTCCTGGATCTGTAAGTTGGCATTTTTAAATAAGATTGGGGAAATGTGGCCAAAAAGTATAAACAACCCAAATATCCATCAGCTGATAAATGAATACTTAAAATGTGCTATATACATACAATAAAATATTATTTGGAAATAAAAATGAAACACTGATATGAACTGCAACATGGGTAAACCTGAAAACAGCAACTGAAAAAAGCAAAAGACTGCATATGTGTAATTCCATTTATATGAAATATCTGAATAGGCAAATCTACAGAAACAGAAAGTAGGACTGGTGAGGATAATGGAAATATGGAGTGACTATAATGGATTGCAAGGTTTCTTTTTGGGGTGATAAAATGTTCTAAAATTGTGCAGATGGTTGCATAACTCCGGGAATATACTGGAAGTCACTGAATTGTACACTTTAAATGGGTGAATTGCATGGCATGTGAATAATATGTCAATAAAGCTGTTATAAAAAGATGAAGCAGAAGCAGCAGAAGCAGCAGCAGCAGCAGGTGCAGCAACTGGGTTTTCTAACTCACGATTCTGGGTTTTTAATATTATGCTTAATATTTCACAATTTTTAAAATGTACATTTATATGGCTTTAAATATTATTTATTTAAATAAATTAAATGACTTTTAATTGCCCTGTGTTTTTTTCTTGGGTGCTTTTAATGAACACAACCAATATAACATCAAATAGTATGTGCAGACATGAATTTTAAAATGACATACAACTGAATCCTCCTACTTATTGAAGTCATCAAAATAGTTTTAAATAAGGCTTTGTAGCTAATAACTGTTTAGTATCAATTTTCTCACATGATTTTTTTTCACAACTCTGAGGTAGTTAGGAAAGGTGGTATTATCCATATTTTTCAGACCAGGAAATTGAGGCCCAAAGGGTAACACATATAGTTCACTTACCCAGGAATTTTAACTGTAACTCTAGTATTCTTTTATAGTATTCAAAAAAACCCTACTAATTCTCTTTATGTTCTTTTTCTCTTTTTTACTATCTTTGTTTACAATTTAAATTCTTTTTTAAAAAAATATATTTTATTGATTTTTTACAGAGAGGAAGGGAGAGAGATAGAGAGTCAGAAACATCGATGAGAGAGAGACATCGATCAGCTGCCTCCTGCACATCTCCTACTGGGGATGTGCCCGCAACCCAGGTACATGCCCTTGACCGGAATCGAACCTGGGACCCTTCAGTCCGCAGGCTGACGCTCTTTCCACTGAGCCAAACCGCTCCTGGCCAATTTAAATTCTTTATTGTTGAAAGTATTACGTCTCCTTTCCCCCCATTGATCTCTCCCCAGCTGCTCCCGCTCCCTAGCACACGTCCCTGCTCCACTAGTCTTCTTTTTCTCTTAATTCACTTTTTCTAGTGCAGAATTTTTTTCTCCTTTTTCATTAATATATCAAATGCCACAGAAGTAGAGTTAAGAGTAAGTAGAAATATAATCACTTTATTTAATTTCTATTTCTGGGAAATGGAGAGTTGGGAGCACTGTTCAGTTGGGGCAAATTTATAGCACTGTTTTCTCCAAATAATTCTATGGTTACTTTCATTTAGATAAACCAATTTATGAGCAGAGAATAATTTTTTTAATATTATAGTGTATTAAGAACTTTATTTTTTTTAATTAACTTATTTTTTATAATATATTTTATTAATTTTTTTTTACAGGGAGGAAGGGAGAGAGATAGAGAGTTAGAAACATCGATGAGAGAGAAATATCAATCAGCTGCCTCCTGGACTCTCCCTACTGGGTATGTGCCTGCAACCAAGGTACATGCCCTTGACCGGAATCGGAATCGAACCTGGGACCCTTGAGTCCACAGGCCGACGCTCCACTGAGCCAAACCGACTAGGGCAAGAATAATTTTTAATATCTGCTAATAAAGTCTAATTGTATTTGTTGGACATGAATACAGATTAGAAGTCTCCAATGTACTCTGTTCAGTTACTAGGTCAGAAACTACTTTTATGTAGTTTTTTTGTACTAAGGGTTTTGTCTAATAAAAAGAATATGATATCTGTAGTCATTCATTAATATGGACTGATATGATGGAAAGATCTCTATTTCTGGCAAACAACTTAAGGCAGATCTGTATAAATCTAGTATTCTCACAGCAGTTCCCACATTAATTTCTCTACTCCAAGGCAGAGTGGGATAAATTATTATGACCCGAATTTTAGGAAGTAAAAAACTAAGAAGGATTAAGAGGCACAGGCAAAAAGCAGATATCAAATTTTTGATGCACACCTTAAGTTTGAGTTATAGTATAGTACAAAGAACCCGAAACTAGGAGTTAGAAGACATGAGTGTTAATCTTGATTCTTGGTTATCTGTGTGATGTTGAGCAAGTCATTTTATCTCTGATCATTCTTTTCATCATCTTTACAATGAGGTTGAAAATAATTTTTTTTTTTGCTTATTTCCCAAGTTTCAGTGTGTGTCAAATAACATAGAGTCTATGAAACAAAGTCCCATGGAAATGAAAAGTAACATATGCACATATGTGTATGTATGTACATGTATATATGTATGCTTAAATACTCAGCTACTCTCCGATATTAGTTGAGTTTGACTAATAATTGATGGTCTAATTCAGTAAGCTACTCAACAAATATTGTACGACACTATGGAGTTAAAAGATGAACAAGTCATAGTCTCTAACTTTTAAGAATTCACAATTAAGAAACAAAATTAAACAAATAATTATAAAGGAATAAATAAGGAAATAGGATAACTAAAAAATT